ATCTTTCTTTTTTCACTTTAATTGTTTTGAATATTTTTTGTTTAATTTGTTAATTTTTTTAGTTCAGTAAAAGTTAATTTTAATATTTTTCATTACATTTCATTGTGTTTAATTACTTTCCAAATAGCATACCAGATTCAACCCACTCGCGAATCACGTAAATTTCCTCTTTTCATAATTCATTTCCATTTGGTGAACCTGTTCGGTTTTTTTCTATTTTTGCACAAAATTTCCGGCAACCATAAATTAAACAAATTGTCGGTTAGTGAATGAATTAGATGAACGTACGTGCATACACACATAGACAGTTTTCTATGACGTATACACATACCCACACCTACACATGCGTGTAAAATAAATAAACTTTACATGAGTTTTGTAAATCGAAAATCAAAAATTGAAAATTTTTCTCTCAGAATTTTCGCAATTTTCTCATTTCATTAACATTTCACAATGAAATTTTCGATGTAGACAGTGATTTTTGACGCTGCCAGTGGGAAGTGAATTGCCTGGCACGTGGCATTTAAGAATTTTATGCGAAAATATTTTTTTGGTGTGTACAAAGAATGATTTTTGTTTTGTGAATTTGCAATTTTAAAGGGGTGATTTTATTATTTCTAAAACAAATGTGTGTGCTTCGACTGCTATGTACATAAATCTATAAAAATTATTAACAAAATTACTTAATAAATCCATTCTTCATCACAACAATGCACCTTAATGAATGTAAATTTTTTAATTGACTAACGGTCCTCAGTATACTAAATTAACACCATTATCTTCAGTATTTACTTATATATACCTCCCTCTCTTACACCCATTATCTCTCCGTTAAAATTTTATTGTTTGCAGTTATTAGCAGAAAATGCTCATTAAGTGCCAAAAGAATCAAAGTAAAAAGCCTTCAAAGCTTACAACATCTCAAAGAGGTACACAACAACAACAAAAATTCCAAATAAAAGTTAATGAACGGTTTCGTGTGAAAATGAACTTGTAATGCAATACTTTGAATGCAGAGTCACGTCACGGTAAATTGAGTCACTTTGTCAAGGACAAACGATCCGCCAAACACAAAGGACGATTTTAACAAAAGCGTACATATGCACGCGTATGTGTGTGTGAAACAATAAAAGTGTAAGCAGCAATAGAATAAAATCCACAACTAGCGTAATAAAATTTGCTAAAGAAAAAGTTGAAAGCAGTTTCCGACAAATTCTTGGCCTTTGACACCGTTAACACTTAATTTAAGCTGTGCGCCATGTAATACATTTATGTATATGTTATTTAACAAGGCATATTTGCATATAGAAATAACCGAAAAAAAAACAAAAAAGAGCTAACGCCGTTTTTAGCAGAAAAAATCTTTTTAAAATTTTTATTTAACGTTAAATCTAAGATTTAACTTTATTTTAACTACTTTTAACATTTTTTTTTATCTACTCAGTTCATTAATTCAATTTTATTTGCTTTTATTTTATCTTGCTTTTTTATTTTATTTATTTTAACTTATTTAATTTTGTTTAGTTTATTTAATTTAATATTATTATATTTTATTTTATTCTATTTTATTTTAATATATTTATGTTTTTTAAATTCACTTTTTTTTGTTGTGATGTATTGTATTATTATTTTAATTTATTGGTATTACTATTTTTAAATTTATTTTATTTGATTTAATTTAATTAATCAATTTTTATTTTAAATTATCTTTTTTCTCTTAATTTTTGAATTTCATTTAATTCAACTTATTTTATTTTGTTTTATTTCAGTTTATTTTATTTTATTTTATTTTATTTTATTTTATTTTATTTTATTTTATTTTATTTTATTTTATTTTATTTTATTTTATTTTATTTTATTTTATTTTATTTTATTTTATTAATTTAATTTTTTTATTTAATTTAATTTAATTTAATTTTATTTTATGTTATGTTATTTTATTTTACTTTACTTTATTTTAGTTTATTATATTTTATTTTATTCTCTTTTAATTTAATGTGTTACATTTTTCTGAATTTATTTTATTTATTTTTTGCTTTTAATGTATTTTATTTTAAATTTTGTGTTATTATTTTATATAAATTTAAATTAAAATTATTAATTAAATTTTGATTAAAACAATTAATTTTAATTTTGTTTCCTTCCTTTATTTTGTTTAGTTTTATTTATTTTTTTTATATTGTTTTATTTTATTTATTTTTTCCATTCTAATATATTTATTTTTTTCTTATAAGATTTTCAAATAATTAATTTTATTTAATTTTGTAGTATTTTGTTTAATTTAATTAAATTAATTTGGTTTTTTTAACGTTTTTAATTAATTTTCAATTCAAAAATTATTTTTATTTCATTAGACATATTTTTTTTGTTTGAAAGCAATTAGTGTTATTACCATTTATTATCGGGTTACATAATTTATTAAGCGAAGAGAACTAAATAAAAAAAAAACAAAACCGTTTCCATCATTTTAGCCCTTCAAGAGAATAAAAGCGGAGAACAAAGTAAAATTTACTCTTAAAACGATCAGGTTTTGTTTGAAGTTTTAGTGAAAATATTTTTGTGACTCGCACTTGATTTTCGCATTTACGGCTCCATCCTACCACCTCCTGGAACTTCGAATTCCTAAATTTTAGGATTTAATATTTTTTTCAAACATTTCTCTGCATTGTTTATCCAACTGTTTATGCCATTGCCATTGCAGACTACCATTTATTCTTCTCTTCTTGTTAAAGTTTTTGCGTCTAAGTTGTCTGACACACTTCTGAAAAGTTTCTGCATTTGCATAAAGCGTCTTTAAACGAGAAGAAAGCAAAAAAAGAAATAAAAGAGGAAAATCCGAATTTAAGTTTTCACTTCCGTTTACAAGTTTTAGCTTTGTTTGCTTAGCTTGAACTCATAAAACCGACCAATCGGAGCAGTCGAGCAAACTGGGCGGCAGTGGCAGACCAAACTTTACAACTCTACAACTCTACACACACACATACATAGACGAGCGTGTTTTATATTTTCGAAATTCTTACTCTGCATTTTGCTCTTATTTGCAATCACGTTATTAAATTTAATTCAGCAAATTCTGTTAAGAATTGAATTTTTAGTATATTTTTTAATTTGTCCTCATTTAAAATTTATTTCGTTCTATTCTTAATGTCTGTTGTCATCATATTTTTTATAATTTTATTTTAGTTTTTTTTTTCATTCCTTTATCAGCGAATGCTTCTTACTGCCTATTTGCTAATATTTTCCTTTTCTATGCTCTTTCTTTATCTTTGTTTATTTGTTTGGAGCTGTCTAATCTTAATTCTCAAAATGGCTTTAGTTGAACACTTTATTAAAATTTATGTGCCTCTGTCGTTGATTGGGCGTCCTTTTTGCCGCTAAATGTGTTTATATGCGTTTTCAATGTGTTAGTTGTATTTTGAGTGAGTGAAGGTTGGGAATACTTTTGAACATTAACGAATTTATTTATTTCTTAGCTATGTGTTTATGGAAATATATTCAGAAACTTACTGATTTACTTCGAAGTAGGAGTGACTTTTAATGATACCAAAAAAAAAATTTCAAAATCAGTTTTATTTTGTTAAGCTTTACCAGTTCTCAAAATATACCCCGAAAAAATTGAGAGGTTTTTTTGTTCGAAGTACATTTTTAGATTTCATAAATTTAAGATTTTCTGAAAATTTTCGAAGACATGAACTTCGAAGCTAGAAATGTTGAATACTCAGACCGAAGTTTTTTGCTAATAATTTTTGGTAATTCGTAAATATACTACGAAAAATTGAAAGCTACTCCGAAAACCTTCCGAAAGTCAAGTTATTGTTTTGCCGCAGCAGTTAATTTGTGAGATAACTTTAGTATATTTATAATTTTTATTCCCAAAAATATCCAAATGATTCCAAAAGAAAATTTTAATTAAAGTACGAAATTCGGGTTTAAAACTGTTTGGAATTTCTTAAAAATAATTTTAAATTTTTTTGTATCTCTTGATTTTAACCACTAAGTAAATTCGAGTTTACTCCGAAAAACTAAAAATCACTCCAAAATTAGACAATAATTTATTTCAGTTGCAATGACTAATAAAAATTTGGAATTACTCCGAAAAAAAAAACGAAATTACTCTGAAAAATGAAAACTTTGTACGAAATGGGGAGAAATGCTCCTCCACTCTTTCAGGCAAGGTGACTCCGAAAAATTCGGAATAACTCCGAAAAATATTAAAATTACCTCGAATAAATCAAAATTGCTCCGAAAAATTTAAATATTTCAAATAAATCGCGCATACCTCATTTCAGCCTAAATTACTTTCAAAATAGAAAAATTCAGCGAATTACTAGAAATTACAACTAAAAATGTTTTTAAAGTATTTAAAATTGTCTTACATTTGTGTTAGTACCGACTGATTTCAAAAAAAATTTAAAATTTTTCGGAATTTTCAAAAATTAAATTAAGCTTTACAGTTCATGGAGTCTAATTAATATTTGTGCAAATAAAATTTCAGATCAGTAGGTATGTATTTTATTTTTAATAAAAAGATAACTACTCCAGTATGTACCGTTATATAAAAATCGGCAAATGAAATTGAACGTCGCATCTACAAAGATAACAGCATAGCATAAAGAAATATCGAAAAAAGAAAAAAAAATATTTTGAGACTTTTATTCTCCCATAAAGTGGCACTTTTTACGATTTCATTGGAAAAAGCACACCAATCGAGTGCACTACATTTCAAACCTGTCAACTGGGCCTACTGATAAAGCGCTATTGTAGTGAAGATAAAAAACAAATTACAAAAAAAAAGATCAAAAAATCAACTACAATACAACAGCGTTGTATAGAACAACGAAAAAAAAATGTCAAGTGCCAACAAAATTATCTTGATTTATATAAGCACATAAGAGTTCCAAAATACCTACAATAATACCTAATATACTTATTTGCTTTGCATTACATTTGCTTTTGTTGTTAAAAAACAAAAAAAAAAAAAGAACAATTTTGCCACTTACCACCTTCCGGCTCTGAGTCATCTATATAGATCATGTTGTTGCTATCTTTATTGGGATTATTTTCACGCAAACGAGTACCTATTTTGATGGCTTCTTCTCTTCTCGAACGTGTATTCAAAAATTAATTTTTTTTCTTACACACTGATGACTTAAGTTTATTGCACCGTTGTTTATGACCTTGCACCTTCAAAGCTGACGTACGCGTTCAAGGTGTTTTGACTGCCTACTCAGAGTCCAATAGCCGATTTGTAGGTATTTTTATGTAGTAATTAGTTAAAAATAATTATTATTTTCTTAATGAATTGTAATCAAGAGACTTTTGTATAAACACTTGTTTAACGCTTCTCACTTTTTCGCTCAACGCTGCTCTGCTTCTTCTTTTTATTATTAATTTTTTGAGTTGAATTTGCTTTCTTTTTATCTATAAGTGCTGCAAATAAATTGAAAAAAAAACTAATTTACTTATACGCCTTTTTATTTGCGCTTTATTGTATGCTCTTTGTGTTGAAGGTCGTTTTGTTGTTGTTAAACTTTAATTTTTTTAATTTATTTAATTTTTTATTATATATATTTTTTTTAATATAATTTTTGTGTTTTTTTTTAATTTTTGCCTTCCTTCACTTTTATTTGCAAATTAGTATGGCAGATTGGCAAAATTTCTATATACATGCACTTCTTATAAACCGTTATATGGCACACCATTTGCTTTTTTATCTTGCGTGCTTGTCGTGGGTGTGTATTTTTGCTCTTGGGAACGGATTGGTTGTGGGCAAGGGTGTGTTGTTCTTGCGTTTGCTGTATTGATTGTTGGTATTTGGACGTTGTCGGGAATTGCGTTGTAGATTTTGAGCTTTTGGTGTTTTTTCAAAATTTTTTATTTACATTTTTTTTAATAAAAAAACAACATATATATAATATCTATTCAATATGTGCGCACTAAATTTTTGAAAAATTAATTTATTTATATTTGCGTTATTTGCTGATTTTCACTGGGTAAATCTACTACGGTTAAGCACAGAAAACGTGGAAAAAATTATTTCACACATTTTTTTTTTTTTTCAAAATAAAATTTTTTTTGCAAAATAATATTTATGTATTGCTTTGAAATTTTGTTGAAAACTTTATTAAAATATATATATATATATATATTTTAAATTTTCTCTGTTAATATTTATTTTATGTTACTTTTCTCAACTGTTAAATTTCCATATTAAATCAGAACACATGTCGATTTTTCACATAATAGTCTTCGATTTGGCTAAAAATCATGGTACTACTGACGGAAATTTTTCTGCAACACTTTTAAATTTTTTTTCCTAGTTATGGGCAGTGCAGTGACTCGTAGTTACTCATGAAGGTTACACTGTAAAATAAGTCTTCAATTGGTTAACAGCTTAACACTATCAATTAATTTGGGATTGAAGGCAGGCCATTGCACCGAGCTCAATATGTTTTGGGTAATATGCCCTCTCTCAAATTTAAATTAATTTAATAATGTTTTGTTTAACTGATTTTCTTTAATTTTTTCCTTTTATCTTATTTTTATTTGAATTCATTTTTTTATTTTATATTCTTTCTTTTAATTTATATTAATTTAAATAACTTCAATTCTATTTAATGCAATTTAATTGGTTTTGAAATTTTTTTTAATTTTGTTCAATTGATTTTGTTTTATATTTTTTTCTTTTATCTTATTTTTATTTTAATTAATTTTTTAATTCTTTTTCAGATTTAATTTAATTAGATAATTTTTTTTATATTATTTTAGTTCATTTTCTTATTTTTTTTGTTTTAATTATTTAATTTAATTTAATTTAATTTAATTTAATTTAATTTAATTTAATTTAATTTAATTTAATTTAATTTAATTTAATTTAATTTTATTTAATTTTATTTCATTTTATTTTATTTTATTTTATTTTACTTTATTTAATTTAATTTAATTTAAAATAATTTAATTTAATTTAAGTTAATTTAATTTAATTTAATTTAATTTAATATAATTTAATTTAATTTAATTAAGTATAATTTTATTTTATTTTATTTTATTTTATTTTATTTTATTTTTTTTTTTATTTTACTTTATTTGTTTTGCTTCATTTAATTTGACTTTATTTAGAATTATTTTACATAATTTTGTTTATATAATTAATTTCTGATTCAATTTATTTATTTATTATAAATTTACTTATTTCCACTTCATTTAAATTAGTTTCATTTATATAATTAATATTTTTGTTCTACACAAGTTGGTTCGTGTAAATTAAATTATTTATGTTTGCTGGTTTTATAATTAAGTTATTATTAATTTATCAAATATTTTTATAATTTCATTTCCTCTTACTCTGCTTATTTTAATCGGGTTTAATTTAATATGTAAATTTATATTTTTATTTTATTTTATTTTATTTCATTTTATTTTATTTCTAATTTAGTTTATTTGGTTTAAGTATTTTGTTTTGTTAATTTCATTTAATTGTAATTAATGGAATTCATTGTCTATTTTAATTCTTTATTTCATTGTTGAATAAATACGAATTTCCAAAAAATTTGAAAATTTCGTATGTATTATTTTTCTCCTTCTTCAAATTTGTAGGCACCGTTACCAAAATTATTGCTTTATTAATTTAATGAAAATCATCGTTTGTTTTAAATAAATAACTAAAAAGGTTTTATTTCTTTTTTTATTTCAACGAACATTTTTCCAATTCACATTTCAATCACATTTTGTTATTATTTATTTTAAATTTTAATTTTTTTATTTTTTTTTATAAAATTCAATGCATTTTCATTTGCCACTTTGTATGCATAGTTACCAAAATTATTTTTAATTCCACGTTTTCAATTTTATTTTAATTTAAAGCAGCCAACATGCGCTAAAATACGCCGAAATACAAAAATTCTTACACAAAATATCCGGATTCCGACAATCTTCGCACAAAATTACTTCATCAACTTCGCGCAGTGAAAATTAGCACTACTTTGTGAAATAAACGCTGAAAAAATTTGTAATGGAAAATAAGAACACGAACTTAATTTTCACCCGTTTATCGCGTGCTTTTCTTTGTTTAATTTCCGCGCCAGCTCGCCAGCGCTGCGAAGCACAAATAGTACAAATATTTTTGGGTTCGGAATGGGTGAGCGCGTTGCGTTGACCAACAGCTGAGCGCCGAGCACTGAGCGCACAGACAGCGAGCGCTGCTTAGGCGAGCCATGCAATGGGAGCGTACATAGAGGAAGGTCTCTCTCTAGCGCCGGCTGATTTTTACTCCCAAATCAAATCAAATTCACGCTCGCGGCCATAAATTGCCAAGCGAAGCGCTGCCGGCCCGTCGACCTGCTTGTTGGGCTGACTGGCGTTTTTATTTCTTTGCACTTGTTGTTGCTGTTGCTTGGTTGCCGCCTGTTGCCGTAGTCGTTGTATTTTTTTTTCTGTTATTTCATGCTTTTCTTTTTGCTGTCTTTGTTTGCACACGATTTTTCGATTTTTCACAATATCGTTGTGTTCGCTGTTGGCTTGTTGGCTCTTGGCCGTTTAAGTTGGCTGTTTACTGTTGCGCTTTGCTGTGCGCCTATTCGTCTTAGCCACGGCCAACGACACATGATTGCGTTAGGTTGTTGCCGTAAAATGTTTGTTTGGCTAAGTGTTGCTGCTGTTGTTGCGGTTCGCTGTTGGCTGGCGTACGTGTAGCGGGCGGCTGCTGGTTCGGCGTCGAGAGCTGGTGAGTTGTGCTAAAAATAAGTAAAAAATAGATAGACAAAGCGTCAGCACATGTGAGCAGATACGTGTATGTAAGAAAAATGTGCTTTTTTCAGTTTGACTGTATATGAATAATGGTCTCGAATACATACATTTACGTATATATGTATATACTATTTATATGCCAAAAATGCACATGTTTACAAGTAGTTTGGATATGTTTAGCTGTTTTGTGGTGGAGGAAGATGGGAGCAAAAAGTAATTGAAAAATTGAAAAAAAAATTAAGAATTTGAAATTATAATAAAAACAAAATCTTAAAATAAATAAAAATTATTAATATAAAATAAATAAAATAGGAGAAACTAAAACTTATAAAAAACTTAAATAATGAGACGAATTAAAAAATATAAAAGGAAAACAGAAGAAAATTTAAGAAAAATAATTTAAAAAGTTCATAAAATATGAATGATTAAAAATCTTTAATATTGAAATATTAAAATAAATATAATTTTAACAAGTTAAGCTTAATAAAACAATTATAATAAAAAATAAATATATTAAAAAAATGAAAAAAAACCAGATACAATAGAAAGTTTGAAAAATACCTATTAAAAAATTAAATTAAAATATTTACAAATACATAAATCTAAAATTAAAAGATTAAAAAAATCAAAAACCTAAAACCAAGAAATAAAATCATAAAATAGAAAGAAGAATTGATGTATAAAAGAAAAATTAGTTTAAAAAAATTGAAGATTTTAAATATTAATAGAAAAAATGAAAAGATAAATGAAAGAATAATGGTATAGAGATATTAAAAACTTTTGAGAAAAAAAGACATAAAAATGTTGAGAAAATGATTGAAATAATAAAAATAATTATTAAAAAATAATAAGAACAACTTATTAAAAGAAATTTAAAAAAATTTGAAATAAATAGAAGAAATTAAAAAAGTTTAATTAAAAATAAAAAAAATAAGAAATTTAATAAATGGTAGAAAAGAAGAAAAATTTAGAGAAATACATATATAAATACATTTTTTTAAAGTAAATAAATTTAGAAAAACTTGAAAATCGAAAGGCACTAATTAAAATATAGCTTAAGAAAGATTGAAAAAAATTAAATAAATAAAAGATAATAACAATTGAAAAATATATAAGAGAATGAGAATTCGAAAATTGGATTTCAATACTAGACTTTTTGCCAAATGGCTTCAAAGAAATGTAGCCTAACGCTTAATTACATGACTGAGCTGGATATTTCTCTACAGTTATAGACATTTTAAATCAAAGCCCACTTTTATTGAGCCTAATAGTCTTTTGAATTACAATTTTTTTTTATAAATTTGAAAAAACAGATTTTTTTTAATTTCTATGAAAAATTGATGTATTACTTTTTTTTATTATTTGAAAATTTTTGAAATTTTTTTTTGGCTTTCTGAAAATTCCTTTGCTTCAATTCCATAAATCATGTTCGAAAGTTTATTAAATTTTTTTTAATAAATTTTTAAGTGTACTGAATGTTTTTTTAATAAGCATTGTACAAGAAATTGAAAATTAAAACTTACATTTTATAGCGAATATAATTTTTTTTAATCGTTTGATATTTTTTTTGAAAATATTAATAAAAGAATTATTCATTGCTATGAACTCTATCAGCTCATTTTTTTATTTTTAGTGTTTCCAATTTACAATTTCCGAGCTAACTTTCCACTCCCACCTTGAAATCAATCAATGCCATAAATATTTATAACATGAAATAAATTGGGGGAAAAAAATCAGATAACGCGCCATGGAAAAAAAAATAAAAAAAAAGTGAGAGAACAGGTTAAAAGCAGGAGAAAAGTACTTCGTTCAGATAGAAAAAACGAATAATGACATAAAAATAATTAAATGACATTTTCCAAAGAAATTCAAAATTAAAGTCAAATGCTTGCCAACGCAGACATACATACTATATATACATACATACACACGTAGATAGTATACAAAATATAATATATACCTGCCGATAAGTTATTCTACACTGAGAGATAACGCGTACAAAATACAATTTGCACGAATTCCAAAGATGTCTGGCGAATCAGAGAAAGAAAGAAAAGCAGGCGGGCGCGCATACCTAAGCGATGACTGGAAATCATACATGAAATAACTGGATATAAATATATGTAATTATCTCCCACTCATTGCAAATATTTTCATTACATACAATTGTTGATATAAAGTTCCCCACTGCCGCTCGAGTTGTGACGTTTCACTCAACTGCACTTATCTCACGAATTACTCAGAAAGGTATTTAGAGTTCAGCAGAATATTTTGGTGAAAAGGTGAGAGCGCGTGGAAGGAAGGTGGGCGGCATGCTTATCGCTGACTTATCACAAACGCTTATAAATCATTTAATTACCAGTTTACTTATATTTAAAAATGTGGTTGTATGTTATTGTTGTGGTGGGAGAGGGCTTTTGGGAGCTGTTTTATAGCAATCAATTTGCTGATAAATTGAAATTTTGTTTAGTAACTCATATTAATCATCAATTTAATTTTAGTTAACATTTAAATTTAAATAAATTTTTTTTTTAGTTTTTTATCAATTAATTTTATTTTAGGCTTTTTCACACCTTTCGCACCTTTTTAAATCCAAAAATGTATATGCATTTGCATAACCTTCATCCGAAATTATGAAGCCAGACCAAGACAAGAACAACAATGCCATTAACTTTGCATGATGTACGGCTTTAGGAAGCTAGGGACATTCATATTTATTTATTTCCAAAGATGCGAAAACAAAAGTGAAAAGAATTTCCATTTAATAAATGGTGAAAGCGTAATTGCTTAAATAGGGCGAAAAATCAAAGAAATGTAGCTCTATTTTATTCCTGGTCGCTGAATTTTTGTATATAACCATATAAATACCAAAAAAATTTGCGAAATTTATAGGTTTATATGGAAAGGGTGATATGAGTAGGTGGTTGAACTTGAATCTTTGTACACAGCAACTACTGACACACCTTCATACATACATACCTATGTATATCTGACAGCTTTCCTTATTAATTCCTTTGTAAAATTTGTCAGACTATTATTTTCAGTCAGATGAGTCTTGATAGATCCTTTTCAGAATCAAAATAAAATAAAAAATCAATATTATATTGAAATAATTCCAAATTAACACGTACGATTACTTGTAGAAAATTGAAAAGCTCAATATAACTACTTTTTTTTTAATTATTTAAGGTAATTACTTATTATTGGATTTTTCGGAGTTACTCCGAATTTTTCGGAATCACTGCTTAATTTACGGAGTTGCTAAAATTCATGAAAAACCGATTTAAAAGCCGCAAAGGCTAGTTACAGGATTTATGAAATTACTCCGAATTTTTCAAGTAGACTTACAATTATAAGAATATTTGTCATATACCAATACTACGTTTTTAACGAATACGTCTTGCAAAGAACCTGCCTTTTAGCTTAGCAATTGGAAGGTGATACTTTGTACGTAATTCTGTTTTTTTTTTTACTAAATTTTTGAGGTTCCGAATTACTCCGAAAAATTTCTATAATTATCTCGATTTAATGCCATTGACTTCTGAAAATTCGGAGTAACTCCGAAAAACTTTTTGATGCCTGAAATATTCGGAATAGCGAAAAAGACATGTAGTATTAACAAAAGTCGTTTTAAAAAAAAACTAAAAAAGCCGAAATATTGAAAATGGGCAAACAAATATTAATAATTTCAAATAAAAATTTATTCTATCTCTTAAAATTTCTAGGAACTTGCGTTTTATTTGTTAAGTTTTTTCAACTGAATGTATATGTTGAAAACTTTGTTTAGCTATTGTTTGTTATAGTCTGACAAAAAAGGCCATTAAATCAATAAAGAAATCGAGTTGCACAAAAACAAACACACTCTCTCCTGGTATCATCAATAATTTTCTGTGTCACATAAAACCAATGCTGCTCACTTTTTAACATTTATTTAAATTCATTGCTCAACTGCAATGCATTTTTCAGCACTTCACACCAGCCTTTTTTCCGTTCTTCAATGTTTTCTCTACTTTTTTGCTTCTCTCCTCTGTGTTTTTCTCAAACTAGCAACTACTTTATCTCGTGGAATGTGTTTTTTTTTCGGTAAGCTTGACGTTTTCGACTGCAATACGACAACTCAATAAGGAATTTATTTGCAGCTCCGAACATTTGCTAAGTCACTCCTTTCACTTTTTCGCATTGTTTTGTGTCTGTTGGTTTTGTACAGTGGCAGCAATGCAGTCATCAGATTCTACAAAGTGTTGGGAAAGGTATTGCAATATTGGTGTATGTGTGTGTGCGTGTGTGGGTGTGTAAATGTTGGCTGAAATGCATTTGTTGAACAGAAATGTGTTTACAAACAATAAATCGCAACGTAAGTCGAGTTTTCGCAGTCAAATGTGGATACAATGTTGCATTGCAGCAACAATAAAAATGTCGATTACTCTCCTAAGAGTTTTCAGAACATCAGAAAAAGGTGGAAATAACAGCTTTTATATGTATGCACTGATGTGCAGAGCCAAGGCAAAATATTTGTATTTTTTATGGTAGCTGAAAGAAATTTAGGATACATTCAGAACAAAAATGTTTAGGAAAAACATACGAAAGAACATTGAGTTGGTTTACGCTTCTTGCATTGGGTTTATAAGATTTCCAGCTTTTAATATAGTCATAAGGAACCATTTTTTTGCTCACGAATCTCTTCCCTTCATCCCTAGTGTATATTACAAAAATACATTTTATTGTAAGTAAGTATTCACCTTATTGTTCTGAAAAGTCATTTCAAATTAAACCAGAAGACTCCGAAATTTCGGAGTGACTCCGAAAAATTCCAAGAGACTCCGATAGATTCGGAGTTATTGCAAATACATTTTATTGTTCCCCCAAGTATCTTAAAGTCACCGAAAAGTTCGGAGTAGTTCCGTAAAATATTCAAAAGGCTCTGAACAAATCGGGGACACTACAAATACATTCCAAACTACCCAAAATTTGTTTCAAATAAATTCCA